TGTAGTTAAGCAACGTTGGACGCAGAGAGTTCTTTGATGGGTGAGCATGTTTGGCAGCTTGACTCCTGAGAGTTCAGTCCTGCCCCACAACAAAGCACATGTGATACATGTGGTCTCACTTTAGGCAAGTGCGTTTGTTCAAACTTGCCTCTGTTCACCCAGCAGAAAATAGGTGATAATAATAATAATCAGGTAGGAATAAGTCCTATTAGAATAAGTAACTATTAACCTTCTAGCGCCTCACAGGCAGCTTGGGTTATCTGGGGTAATAATAATCAGATTGTATGTTAGTGCTTTTGAGCATGCCGCTCCGTGGTGCGGAATTCAGTGCATTACAAATGCCCTTTTTATGATTATTATTAAAAAGTTCTCATGAGTTCTCAAGATAAGTCCCTTGCCAAGTTGTGCTAGGTTCTGAAGCTAACCTGCTACATGATATTAGAAACAAGTAAAAATCTTCAAACTAATGCAGTTAAAAGAATCTAATCAGGGTACAATGTATTAATTCATAAAAATATAAACTTGTACATGTCTTTGTGTACAGAAAAAAAAGGACTGTGAATACAATGTTTGAAATAAGATGGGTACTGCTATGTGAATTACAGTGATCCCTCCAGCTACTTCTTTATCTTTGGTCCTTTAGGCTTTCACAAAAGATGTTAGAATCTAGGGACCCCATAAATCTGCAACTTTCAACAGTATCGAATGAACTGACAACAATCCAGGTTGATAATATAGAACAAGGGACACCTAAAAATAAAAACATATTGAAATGTCAATTCAATTCAATTCAATATTTTATTGTATTAAAGGCCATAGGCCCATATACAAAAGAGATACATCTTAACAATGGCATATATAATCAATTTTCTAACTTATCAATTCTTTTCTTAACAAAAATGCATTGTAGATAAATAGAGCAACTTTGTGTTGTTTTGGAGGTTCTTTGCTGGAAAGTAAGGAAGACAATAGATTAACGTTGATTTGAGATAAAGACAGTTGAGGTAGATACTTATTTCTTAGATTTTCATATACAGGACAAATAAACATAAAATGGAATTCGTCTTCAATAATAAAACAGAATGGACATAATCTTTGGGTTTTTTCCATAGAAACATATCTTCCACGGTTAATTAATAACTAACATGTCTTTATCTGTTAAAGAATTACGTTGTATGAGGTTTCATATGTATTTTTCTAGACATTTGTTCCACGCATTGTGAAGGACATGAGTTGATGAAATGATTCCAGGGAAGTGATTTGCACAGATTTTACTTCTAATCATTTGACAGGATCTTCAACAGTCCACCGTCTGGATGTGAAAGAGCCCCTTTGCCTTAATGACCTGTTTCGCAATAATTTCCTTTCCAATTACCGCCAGAATAATCTTTATGTGACTGACTGAACTGTCACAGTGTGAGGCTTCACATCCACTACCTCGTTAGAGTTGGCGGTAGTGTCCCTCTGAACTTGTCTGCCACTTTTTCTTAATGATGCAACAATCATACTTTCCCATGTTGAGTGATCTTTCGAGGAGAATGTGTTTTGGAAATGTTTCCATATTCACACTAACAGATTATCTTTTAACAAAGAAACAATTTCCAGTGCTTCATGACCTTCTGATTTTATTTTCAAGTTTCTATCTGCTTGTACCAAGTTTCAAAACGAGTCATGCTAGAAATCTTCAAAACAGAAAGGTTCATGGCTCATCATCAGGGGTCATCTCAAAGGTTTCCACGAATTGGTAAATGACCCGCACATGAAGAATTTTCATGACGTGTAATTTTTGCAATTACTTTTGATATGACACTGTTATAAACCCTAAATGTTTTTAGTGGTCCACAAAATAAATATATGCATCTGCAATACAATACACAGACAGCTGAAAAAGAACTCCAGATATATCAATGATACACAGATGTAATAAAACAATTGTATCAAATCTCCATGCACATTGATTTATTCATTATTTCAGCATTCCAATCACTGTGCTTTCCTACAATATATTAGAATCGGACAAATGCTCATTCTTTTACACAAATGGATCTTCAGATTCTGAAAAACTGGAAAAGAGTTGATTATGTACAGTTGAAAGAAGATCTGGATCCCTAGAAACAAATGAAATTTATTTGAGTCTAGTCTTGAATATTATTTCATTATTCTTCATTATTAAAAGAGCAGGAAACAACTGGTCGCAACAATGGAACAAAACACTGATGTAACATTTGGTACATCATGTCCTTGACCTTGATTTCAGAAGCGATGTTATAAACATAATAATAATAACAACACATGTTCATGAACAGGGATGAAGACATGGAAAATTATGGAATATTAATTTCAAAAGGTTTCAGGAAAATAGAATGAAAATGTGTGTTGGTGAGCTCCATTGCCCCATACCCCAGCTAAGTGGTATTTTGGTTTGTACCCTCAAGAGGCCAAAATCGCAGAGCTATGATGGTCTGAGTATCTGTACACCTACCCAGGGAGATCATTCAACCATGACACAAAGTACCCAGGTCTGTCAGCTACAACAAGTACCCAGAGGTCTGTCAGCTACAAGTACCCAGAGAGATCTGTCAGCTACAACAAGTACCCAGAGGGATCTGTCAGCTACAACAAGTAAGAGATCTGTCAGCTACCCACTTCCAGAGATCTGTCAGCTACAACAAGTACCCAGAGAGATCTGTCAGCTACAACATGTACCCAGAGAGATCTGTCAGCTACAACATGTACCCAGAGAGATCTGTCAGCTACAACATGTACCCAGAGAGATCTGTCAGCTACAACATGTACCCAGAGAGATCTGTCAGCTACAACAAGTACCCAGAGAGATCTGTCAGTACAGAGAGATCTGTCAGCAAGAGTCTGTCAGCTACAACAAGTACCCAGAGATCTGTCAGTACCCAGAGAGGTCTGTCAGCTACAACAAGTACCCAGAGAGATCTGTCAGCTACAACATGTACCCAGAGAGATCTGTCAGCTACAACATGTACCCAGAGAGATCTGTCAGCTACAACATGTACCCAGAGATCTGTCAGCTACAACATGTACCCAGAGAGATCTGTCAGCTACAACATGTACCCAGAGAGATCTGTCAGCTACAACAAGTACCCAGAGAGGTCTGTCAGCTACAACATGTACCCAGAGAGATCTGTCAGCTACAACATGTACCCAGAGAGGTCTGTCAGCTACAAGTGCAGCAACATGTACCCAGAGATCTGTCAGCTACAACATGTACCCAGAGAGGTCTGTCAGCTACAACATGTACCCAGAGGTCTGTCAGCTACAAGTACCCAGAGAGATCTGTCAGCTACAACATGTACCCAGAGAGATCTGTCAGCTACAACATGTACCCAGAGAGATCTGTCAGCTACAACATGTACCAGAGAGATCTGTCAGCTACAACATGTACCCAGAGAGATCTGTCAGCTACAACATGTACCCAGAGAGGTCTGTCAGCTACAACATGTACCCAGAGAGATCTGTCAGCTACAACAAGTACCCAGAGAGATCTGTCAGCTACATGTACCCATGTCAGCTACAAAGTACCCAGAGAGATCTGTCAGCTACAACAAGTACCCAGAGAGGTCTGTCAGCTACAACATGTACATGTACCCACAGAGGTCTGTCAGCTACAACAAGTACCCAGAGAGAGATCTGTCAGCTACAACATGTACCCAGAGAGATCTGTCAGCTACATGTCTGTCAGTACCCAGAGAGATCTGTCAGCTACAACAAGTACCCAGAGAGATCTGTCAGCTACAGCCCAGAGTCAGCTACAACAAGTACCCAGAGAGATCTGTCAGCTACAACAAGTACCCAGAGATCTGTCAGCTACAACATGTACCCCAGAGTCAGATCTGTCAGATCTACAACATGTACCCAGAGAGATCTGTCAGCTACAACATGTACCCAGAGAGATCTGTCAGCTACAACAAGTACCCAGAGAGATCTGTCAGCTACAACAAGTACCCAGAGAGATCTGTCAGCTACAACAAGTACCCAGAGAGATCTGTCAGCTACAAAGTACCCAGAGAGATCTGTCAGCTACAACATGTACCCAGAGATCTGTCAGCTACAACATGTACCCAGAGAGGTCTGTCAGCTACAACATGTACCCAGAGAGATCTGTCAGCTACAACAAGTACCCAGAGAGTCAGCTCTGTCAGCTACAACAAGTACCCAGAGAGATCTGTCAGCTACAAGCTGGGCCAGGTCTGTCAGCTACCCATGTACCCAGAGAGATCTGTCAGGCTACAACAAGTACCCAGAGAGGTCAGAGATCTGTCAGCTACAACATGTACCCAGAGAGAGCTGTCAGTCTACAACAACAAGTACCCAGAGAGGTCTGTCAGATCTGTACAACAAGTGCCAGAGAGATCTGTCAGCTACAACATGTACCCAGAGAGGTCTGTCAGCTACAACATGTACCCAGAGATCTGTCAGCTACAAGAGATAGCCACAGAGGAGGTCTGTCAGCTACAACAAGTCAGCTACAACAAGTAGCCACAGAGGTCTGTCAGCAACATGTTTAGAGAGATCTGTCAGCTACAACAGTACCCAGAGAGGTCTGTCAGCAGCAACAGAGTCTGTCCACAGTACCCAGAGGATCTGTCAGCTACAACAAGAGACCTACAAGTACCCAGAGATCTGTCAGCTACAAGTAGCCACAGAGATCTGTCAGCTACAACAGGTCTGTACCCAGAGAGATCTGTCAGCTACAACAAGTACCCAGAGAGGTCTGTCAGCTACAACAAGTACCCAGAGATCTGACCCACAGAGGTCTGTCAGCTACAACAAGTACCCAGAGAGATCTGTCAGCTACAAGTAGCCACAGAGGTCTGTCAGCTACAAAGTACCAGAGAGGTCTGTCAGCTACAACAAATACCCAGAGAGAGAGATCTGTCAGCTACAACAACCCAAAGAGATCTGTCCAATATCATACCACAACTGAGATATGTTAGTTTTGACACCCATCTGTCATATATGAAACTTACCCTGAGAGATCTGTCGTAGGAAGCACTAAAGACTTTTGTTCCTGATGCTGTGTGAAGAGGGGCAAGAGCATATACCGTGCCGGAATGACCCATCAGCGTTGTCACCTGCTTGTAAGTGCCATGCTCCCATACCTGACACACAAACATGTCATATGAACACGTTAAGAGTTCCATAACAACTGAATGTATATAATTAATGGACATAAGAAAATATCATAGCTATCATTTTCATATCTGAACTACTTTATGATTACAAAAGTAATTTGGCTTGTTCTCTTTGTTTCTGCTCACTGGAGAGCAAGTAAACCCAAATCTACATCTTCAGTTTGAATTTATAGCATACATGATTACAAAAGCAAACTAGATGAATTTGCGCCAAACAGACAGAAAAATTGTCCCCAAATGCAAAATTTTGCCACTGATTCCCCTATGTGCAGCTACTTGTCCCCCCTCCACCCAAACATTCATCTACCTAAATGCAGCCCCCTTTCTCTCCCCCTCCCACAACATCCACCCTATTCTATTCAGTTTCCACACCCCAATGAAAACTCCCTCATCCCTGTCTACGTCTGTCTGCTTCATCCCTGACACTTCCAATAAATGAACAAAGCAGGATCCTGTGATTCCATTGGTTGTTTACAGGCTGACAATATTTCTACACATTTAATAGGGTATAACAACATGAAACTTTGTTAGCTCATGTTCCGCTAGCTTAACACATCTTTTACAATTAATAAATAATACATTGTTTATTTGTGGTGTACAGAGAACTGTAAGTTGATGTAGGGAAACTCACATGAATACAGTTCTCGTATGTGCCTGCGAGGATGTGGTGGTTGGTGATGGTGATGCTGTAGACACTGCCGCCAGACGTGTCGAGGTTGCGCACACATTCCAGGGTAACCAAGTCCCAGATCTACACACACACAGCAGAGTCAGTGACTTAGTCATACATATAGTAACACTGCAAGTGTATATTCATGGAAAACAAGTCATTTTCTCCAATGTCTTGCCAGATAAAACTAGTGAGCCAATTTAAGTGGGGCAGTTCTCACTACCATTGGATCTGAACTCTGAATATATGAACACATTCCAGTGGAGCTAAAGCCACTTGAGAAACTGTGTGTATATATGAATCCAGTCCATGTGAACTGTTATCACAGAATGCTAAGATTTGCGGCCCTATTTGTCTAGATAATCAACCAGATATCAGAAAAAGTCAACTCTAAATATTATAGTCATTGTGACTGTTTAGAAATTGAGTCGATTGACAGAGTGTAAATGTAGTTCCGGATTGGTGACTTCATTATCATATTTATTAAACAGTGATAGTGACTTTAACTGGTTTATCGCATTCAATATATTCCACATCATGCAATGCAACTTTGATAGTGAGTGTGCTAACCTTGATTGTTTGATACGACCCGCTGAACAGATGATCCTGTGTGGCGGATAAAGCCTCGCACCCAGTGGTTCAGACCAGTAAGCTCCTGTTTCAGCTCATATGTTCCAGCGTCCCACACCTGTAGATGATTGGAAGTTGGAGTAATCTAATGTCATGGTAACCATTACTGAAGGCCACTAAATAAATATTACTTCAACAAGTGAATCAATGTATCATATTTCTAATTAAGTATCACGATACTGACTATAAATAATAGGGGTGGGTATTGCAGAGAATTTTCATATTGCGATATATTGCGATGCGAAAGCATGTATTGCGATATGTATTGCAATATATTGCATGAAGTATTTTTAAACAAAAACTACATATAATCGAGTTACTTCTTGATTTATAGAGCAAAAACACAACAAAATCACTAGGCTTGATTAAGCTTTAATAACAACTTTTAATCATGATAAAATAAAAATGTGAATAATATTTGGCACAAATGAAACAAGGACATATCCGAACATTTCCGAGTGTTACGAAGTTTTCCAAATGCAAGTCAACATACCGGTTTTCGATCAGCGCGCATCGCAATATGTATCGTTTTCATGTCTGAACCGGTAAATACCGGTAAACCGCAGCCCTAATAAAAAAAACCTGAAAACCATTTCACCAGTACTTACTACTGGAGTCATCAGTCATCAAGATACTCATTTACACTTCAGTAGTAATTCAACAAGTTGCAGGTGATTCCATAGCATTTCATGTGCCAATGAACCCCCACTTCCAAAGGCCACTCCAATTAACAGGAAGCGGTTACCTGACTACCTATAATATCATACCTGTTATGCCCATGAATCTATTGTTAGAAAGTTGTAGTAGTCTATCCAGTGCATTAGTGGGGTAAACATTTGAAATGACTTTCGACTTCCAGTGGAAAGAAGCTCTGTGCAATCTTGGTCTTCTTCACATTTTTTGGTATTATTTACAAATTTTCAGAGTTTACAGAGTGTAGTCTTCATTTTATGGTTGAGCACAGTTTCAAACTTTGAAGCTAGAGAAAATTGTTTTCTGAATGGCTAATATCAACAATTTGATACCTGTAATGGGATGTCATGAAATCTACATATAGCGGTAGAGGGCACATATGTGGTTCTAATGAGATTGAACAAGCATTACTAGACAGATGATAAAAAAAGCTAATGGGATTGCATAATTCCCTCAGAGCAAGATTACATTCTGCTACCTGGGCCACATGAAACACATAGAAGTCCAAACAAGAATGGAACAAATTAAAACAAATTAATAATCATTTCTTTCAAGATAAGGCAGTAAGTCCACAAACATTCAAAGTAAATTGAAACTCTCCATCATTTTCAATTGTAGAATATGTGTGTTTTTAAAATGTATGGCTAGATTTGTCAAGTTGCTAACGGCTTAAGGAATGGTGTAAATCCAGCTAGGGTCCATGGAGGAAGCAAATGTACTGTAAGTACCCATGGTCCCCAGTATGGTGATCTACCTTCAGTTGTTGGCAATCTATAGCTTGTTTTTACATTGTATTGTCATTTCTAGTTAAAATGTTTTAGATTTCATTACTAGTTTTAAATGGATATCTGTGATACACTAGTGGTTTTATTGTTCTTCGGCAACAGGCTTTATTTTCTAAATTTATTATCTATAATATAATTATTAATTGTTCTCGTCATGATATGGCTGAAATATTGCCGATGTGACGATAAATATTAACTCACTCACTCACTCAAGATAAGGCAAGCTTAATTTTGGTCAGAGGCAGAAACCATTATGAACCATTCAGCTGAGTTCACGATGCAGCATCACTCATGTGCTTCCATGTTTACCAGGAGTTACCTACCCTGACAACCTTGAGTGAGCCACTGAAGAGCATGTTCCGTGCTGCCACCAGTGTACAGACAGGATTGTCATGGGCCTTTATCACATTGACGCTTTCAAAAGTATCCTCCGTGTCCCACACCTAAAGCAGAGGGAGACAGTAAGTTATACAATATGAATATCTCACATTTCTCACAACACTGTAAAATGATGAAATACATAAAACATTCTCGCAGCATCTGATAATCTGTGCAACATTACAAAACCAGTAAAATTGAACAGTGCAATAAAGCAACAAAAGCCTGCCCATTCCATTTTCAGCCAATCAGGAGAAAGTTGTCGGATAGTGGGCATTCCTGGAAATAATACCCCCTTGGGTGCAGACAGGTATGTCCCTCCCTTCCACCTTCACTTTTAAGTCGAAAAAATTCAACATACACCAGGTACAAATATACACTTTGCAGTTCTTAATTCTGAGGGAAATTTCCTGTATCTTGATATCACTTCCATTTTAGGCCAAACAAAACTGCTAATAGTTATCTCTGAAAACTAGATACATCAAACCTCACCACATTGGACACATTACGAAATTGTCACTTTCAGCTATATTTGGCATATGTTTTGAAATGTAAATACCTGATTTTCACTTCCACAATTGAAATTCAACAATAGCATTTCTTGAGATCACGGACATCTGTTTGTCATCATGTCACCAATGACGATTCTGAATCGTCACTGATGAATTAGTTTTAAATGTCAGCCAGATCACTTACATCAATAAATTCCTCATACATTTGAGAATCAAATAACAAACGGTCCTTGTCACAAATACCAAGTGTCAGGAAGAAATAGAGTGAAGTAATTAAGGTGTGAAAATGAGCCTTGTGCTCGGAAATCTAAGCTTGTTTGAAATGTAAGCAAAAAAACCAAAACATTTGGAGAATTTACACATTATACATTTTCTCATAATGAAGGATCCATTAGTTGCATAACTTGGATAAATACTTTCAGAATATGCATAGAAAGAGCATTATAAAATACAATAATTTAGTAAATTAAAACAAAATTGTCCATGTTTCTGTGCTGTGAGTCCATGACTGATGCAAAATTCAACAGCAATATTTCAATATCATAATGCATATTTTAGATATTTTTTCATGAAACTAATTTCATCATCTACATGTTGCCTTGTTCAAGTTATTTTATCCTTTGAAAGTTATTGTTTGTTTGAACAAAAAGTACATAAGAAATGAACATAGCACAGGTGTTTGACGATGAAATGTAGACACAACTGCACACACACACATTTATAAATATGAATTATTTTATATTGTTTTATGGAAAGATAAATGATGATTTGACAGATGCATGTTTGTAACAAACATTTAATAATATACCTGTGTTGTGTTTTATTTATAAAATCAAAATATATCTACAAAAATGTTACATTGTGGTGACAGAATATTCAACTGCTAATTATATTTCTACAAGAATTTTACCCCAAAATATAAACCATGCCATGTCCTCCTTTGATCAAACCATACAGCTCTATTCTAATAGTTTCATTCAATATGAGCAATTTGTTATTCATCTTTCCTTGTATAATCACGATGAGAATTGCAACATAGTAATTTTTGGAGTAAAATTGATATTTTATACTTATCCTGACTCATGCTCTTTTGCTTGTCTTCTTCTTCTTGCGAACATAGTGGAACACTTGTATCTCCTTATTTGAAGCTCCTTCAAAGTAAAATCACTAATTGGTACTCACCACGAGTTGCTCCCCTTTGCTCCCCTGGCGGGAAAGGTGTAAGCCACCCTCTTGCCATGTGCTCCACTCTCTCCTGATTTTTGAGCCCAACACTTGGACTTACAGGAAATCCAAAGTGTTATGTGGGGAGGATGGATGGGAGCTAACCTCATGAGTCAGGATAAGTATAAAATATCAATTTTACTCCAAAAATTACATATTTTTCCTTATCCTGACTCATGCTCTTTTGCTTGTAGAATCCCTCACGGAAGCGGAGGTGGGAGTAACAGAATACTTTGGATTTATAATTAGTGATTTTGTATAGATGTAACTGTAATATCCCCTCACGGGGAACTTCATGAAGGCATAGACTTAGGATATTTCCTGTATTAAAAACCATAGGTTTGATAATGCCATTAAAAGGGGAATTACATTATTAATATATTGAACAATACATATAATATATATATATATATAAGTGACTCTAATAGAGGCACTGAAACTGAACATATCATAGTATAAGCTTAAGGCTGAATAACTTAAGCTGAATATATATACATAGCCCTAATACTCCGTAGAGTTATAAGCTAGATAAGTATGTATATAATACATATTAATCTTGTGAGGGTAATAGTTAGCAGCCCTACGAGGGACTGTCAGTTGCTGGCGAGGACCAGTGGTCGAAATGGTGAATGCCAGAGACATCTTCTGTAGTGATGTCTCTCAGGTAGTGATTCGCAAACACCATGTTAGATTTCCAATAGCATCCTTCCATAATCGTGTTCAACGAACAGTTACCGTGCAGAGGCGAGGGTGGAGGCCAGTGCCCTGATCTCATGTGGATTTGATGCTGTTGGTGGGTCCAAACCTGCTGCCTTGTAGGCGCGGAGGATGACAGTCCTTATCCAAATAGATATTGTGGTCCGTGACACTTCTGTTTGATTAAGTAGGCGATAAGGGGATGAATAAGCGTTTGAGAAATCTTCTCCTTGTTTTGGATAAATTAAGTAAATAAACTTTGGCTCTTACTGGACACAGTGATAAGTCTTGTGTATCTTGTGATCGAGAATAGAGGATAAGCGCCGGGATGTGGAATAATCTGTCTGGTTGACCTGGCAGTTGATTTTTAGCGATGAAATCCCATCTTAGTCGAGGTGCTGTGTTATGATTGTCATCAAACTGTATCCTCTCGTAATCTAGGCGTGAATTTCGGACATTCTTGCTGCCGTGGCTAGAGATAGTAGAAATAGTGTTTTCTGTGAGAGAAATTCAAAAGTTGTCGATTCCAATGGTTCATAAACCTCACTAGTGAGGTGTTGTAACACTATATTCAGATCCCAAGCTGGGCGTGGAACTTCGCTTTTGGTCCTCAATCGGAAGCCCGTAGTAAGGCCAGTAACTCTGGAGATCTTGTCAACTTGACCCCCGTTCTCATGGTGATTACAGAACTAAGCGCGGCAAGATATGTTGATATCGTTGAACCTTTTAAATGTTTGTTTTGGCGAAGGTAACACAAATAGTCTGCCACTTGAGGTTGTGAAGCCTCTCTCGCTGTAAAACCTTTCTTTGCTGCATAATTTTCGAAACTGTGCCACTTGTCGTCGTACAAGTTCACGAGTTGAGTAGCGTAAAGGCAAAGCGTGACTGCTTTTGCGCCCTGGCAGAATATCCTCTCTTGTTTAAACACATTTGTATACAGTCCATACGTGTAGTTGGAACACTCCTGGGTTTCCGTGCACTTGTTTGGTGTGAGGATGAATTAACAGGTTTGCGCGCTTGGGTAGCTCCAGTGCTGGTTGACCGACTTCTTGAATTAGTATGGGAAACCACGTTCTGGCCGGCCAGTAGGGAGCGACCAAAGTGAGTTGTAGGCTCTTTGTTTGTCTGATTTTCTGTAATACTTGAGGTATTATTGCTGCTGGCGGAAGCAGCGTGCGCATTGAGGCCTTCCATGATAGACTTAGGCGTCCGTTGCCCAAGCTTGAGGGTCTGGGACTGGTGACACGAATGTCGGTAGTTGATTGTTGAATCGTGTGGCGAATAGATCTATTAGCGGCGCTCCTAATTGCTTGATTATCTGTGCAAATATTTCCCTGTTGATCATCCACTCTGTCGGTGATGGTAGATGAGGCCGAGAGAGAGCGTCTGCTAGTACATTTCTGGCTCGGGAATGTGAACTGCTCTGACATGTAGATTTAGATCTTGTATTAGATCGAACAGTTGAAAGCTTAGGTTCAAAAGGTTCAGCGATCTCGTTGAGCCTTGCTTGTTTACGTAGAACGCCACTGTCGAATTGTCTGTATGGATCATTAGGTGCGCATTTTGTAGAAATGTGCTCCAATGTAGGATGGCGTTGATTACAGCTTTCATTTCTAGAATGTTTATATGGAGTTTGCTTTCTTGCTGATTCCATAATCCTGATATCGTGTGGTTGGCGAGATGAGCTCCCCAACCTTGGGTGGTGGCGTCTACATATAGATGGGTTTTGAATTCCTGCTCTGCTAAACAAATCCCTTCGCTTGAGACATTCGATTTCTTGGTCCACCATAGTAGATGAGGTCTGAGATGTTTGGGTAGACTGAATGGTTGTACATCGTTGAGATGTGCGTTGATGAGGACCTGTAGGGGGCGTAACTGTAATCTGCCTGTGACAGTCATGTCTTGGGCTGATGTGAGAAGACCTAGTAGGCTCTGCCATTGTCGAAGTGGTAGCGGAGAGAGTAGAGCTGGTGGAATGGTCTGTTGTATCTTGAGCCAAGCGGTCTTCTGGTACAACGATCACGGTTGCGATTTGTGATGAATCGAATACCTAGGAACTGTAGGTCTTGCGATGGTACTAGGTCCGACTTGCGTAAGTTTACTAACCATCCTAGTTGTGTTAGTAGCTTTATGATGTAATTTAACTGTAGTTTGAGACGCTGTGGATCTTGATCTACTTGTATCCCGTCGTCGAGGTAAAACGCACTGCGTAGCCCTTGACGATGTAGAAAAGTGATAATCGGTTTCGTTATCCTCGTGAATAGCCAGGGGGCTGATGATATTCCGAATGGGAGTACTTTCCACTGGTAATGTAGCCCTTCTAGAGTAAACCGTAGGTATTTCCTGGAATCGGGATGAATGGGGATGTGCAGGTAGGCATCCTGTAGATCTATGCTGCCCATGTAGTCCATAGGGGCCGAATCATCTGGCGTAACTGAGGTAAATGTATCATCTTGAAACCCGGTGGTTTGCGTAGATAATTCTTGTTGAAAAAGCTCATGTTGTAGATGAGTCTGTATTTCTCCGTGGAGTTTTTCTTGGGAACTAGGAAAACTGGGGAGTAGAAACCTGGTTCGATGTTTGCTTGATCTATTACTTCTATGGCCTGTTTGGATAGGAGTGATGAAACAGCCTCTCTTAACTTTGGTAGTTGTTGCGCTTGTAAATCGAACTTGAGGGGTTTGATTGTCAGCGGAGGCTTGGCCTGTAGTGGGATACGAAATCCGTGTTGAAGAATGTTGGAGACGTAAGGGTCTTGCAATATTCCCCAGTTTTCCCAGTGTAGTTGGAGGCGTCCACCCACTTGTGCTGGCTGTACTGGAACGGCTGGGGGGTGGAAGACTCCAGTCGTTCCGAACCTGTGTTTCAGCGTCTATAGTTGCGGGAACCTCTGGGTGTCCTGCCTCTTCCTGACCCTCCTCTATAGTTGCCATATGGGCGACGAAAAGAATCTTTACCTCTAGAGCTGGCTATCTTCCTGTCTCTTGCTCTTTGTAGGCCCGTGAACTTAGATCTGCCTGAGTATCTTTGTGAAGTCTGACGAATGACGCTGGCTAGTGTGTCCATCGATTTAATCATAAGGACTTCCCTGGAATCCTTAGAGACTTCCTTGGCGACTTTGTCAATTTCTCCGTCAAAGATGGATGTTGTCGACCACGGGGCTGTATAAAGTGGGGCTGTAAAGTTCTCACCCCAATTGCAGGAAGCGAGGAGGCCTTGACGACGAGCTAAGGTCAGTGCTGCTGAAACAGATGTAAGATGATCCGTTAAGAACTGCTGATCTTTCTTTTGCATAAGTAAGGCAGAGTAAATCATTCTATCATCTTCAGTCGTGGAATCACGGAATCTAGTAATAAGAGTCTCATTGATCGTCCTAGATCTATTTAGCCCAAAGAACATACGTCTCGTCATGGTTTCTATATGAGCCAACTTGCGATCATCCATCTTATAAATCTTGTTCTTGACATCGCTGATGATCTTATAGTTCTCATCGATGTCCTGGGCTTTGTAGAAGGGGTCCATGTTATGCGTGGAGAACTTCTTGGCATGAAAGTTTGGCAGATGTGGTGTCTGAACTTTCGTAGCTTTCTGGAAAGCTGCATCTAGATTCTGTGGCACTGCCGCGATCGGGTCGATCGGGGGTAGTGTGATCGCATCTGGATCGTCTTCTTTCATCAAATAAGTCTGCGCTGTATTGCCACTTTTAGATGGTGATGAGAGATCTAGGTTATTGACCATCCAATACCGTATCTCTGCATCGGAGAAAATGATTCCTCCATCATCCTCAATACCATCATCATTAACGAATGGTTGATGCTCTTCGGGACTGCGTGTAGCTGTCTGTATGTCCGATAATGCTTGTGGCGATCTAGTTGACTTGTGCGCAGCTCTATGTGGTGACCTGACGGGTGATCGACATGGTGATGAACGAAGCGGAGATCGTCTATGGGATGATCTTCTTGGCGACTTGTGAGGCGAACGCTGATAGCTTCGCGAAGCTCTTCTATAGTCCCTCGATGTCCTTCTAGATGATGAAGATCTGGAATCATGTGCCCGCCAGCGAATGCAGCCAGCGAAGCTTCATTGATCGGTGAGGATCGATGATATGACCTTCGCAGCGAAGGCCTCCGTGGCGTCTGATGGTCGAGTCCATATCTAGGGATGAAATCGAAGATGGTGATGATCTGTCCACCTTAGCGAAGGCCTTAGCGAAGGCTGTACATCTAGGTCCGCCGTCAAGGTGGTCGGGACTTCCTTCGCGAAGGTGACATCGTCTTGGCTGCTTCGTTGGCCGGGGGGGTGCCTCTGGGGTGCTGTCACGTTGGAGCCTTCGCGGAAAACTCGGACCCTGCTTCTGCAGTTTGTAGTGGTCCTCCATGATGTTCATAATTTGCGCATCATGTCTTCTGGGATGATCTGTGGCGAAGTCGTCGGCGTCTTCTCTGCGATGGGGTCCACATCAATAACGTCCGACGTCAGTGTAGAGGCATCAGGCTGCATGGTGATCTCTGCAGAAGTCACAGTCGCTGACACCGGTCGCTTCTTGTGCCGTAAGTCGGGGATGATTATCGGCTGATCATCGTAGAGGCCCAATTCTGCTGCTGGAACGATCTCGGCTGAGAAAGTTCTCGCTGTCTTCGTAGATTTCCCTTTGGAAGTCGACGCTGCCCTGGGGGTCCTAAGTCTGCGTTGAGAAGACGTTGAGGCCCTCTTAGACTTGGTCTGCGATGACGGGATGTCTGGGGAGGCCGGTCGTTTCTTCGAGGTAACGGACTGCGTCCCACGTTCCTCTACCGCAGGGGTCTCTAGCAGCACACCAGACGGGAGAGGGTCGATCGCTAGCAGCTGACTGGATGGAATATCTGGACTATCTGCCATGTTTTGCCCTTGTTTGCGTGACCTATCTGCATGCGTCTTAAGGCCTAAAAAGATGATATTTATTAAATGCAGAATGAGATAGATTAATGCAGTAACTGCAGCGTGAATCAAACGCACACGGGCGTAGAACAACTAGGGCATATTACATGCGGATCAGAGGCGGAAAAGCGTAATCTACAAATAGTACAGATTTTCATCAGCGTAAAGCTAGCTGAACAATCACGAATACTGCGTGAATAAACAGTAGAAATCACGATAAATAATCAATACAAATTAGTAAAGGATACTAGCTATACCTCTATAGTAGCCTAAGAGAGGTAAAAACTAAAAAATATCAAAGGATATGGTGTGTAAGGAGACACGCAGAGGCTCTCACATCCTGCTCACTGGGCGAAGAAGGAGAGTGGAGCACATGGCAAGAGGGTGGCGACACCTTTCCGCCAGGGGAGCAAAGGGAGCAACTTCGTGGTGAGTACCAATTAGTGATTTTACTTTGAAGGGGCTTCAAATAAGGAGATACAAGTGTTCCACTATGTTATGAAGACAAGCAAAGAGAAGAAGATAAGACAAAGCAAAAGAGCATGAGTCAGGATAAAAAGGAAAAATTTCGATACATTTGGAGATAAGTCGTTTCTCTGAAGATTCCAAATTGTTGACTAACGCAAAATAAAATCCCAGACAACAATGAATAGTGTTTACTTTTTAAACTGCCATTTGCCCTTGAATTCACAATGTCAGACACAAAATTAAATATTCTTCAAAACTTGTAGTTGTAGGTAAATCTAGTGCCGTGTAAAGTCAATTATTGCGCAACTTTCACTTTACAGATCTTTCGAAAAAGTGTGTATTAAAAAAACAACCTGGGCATCCAGGGGTTAAAGCAAAAGGTTTTGTTTAAAAAAAGGGCCACGGAGTGGTAATTACTACATCCATATATTAGGAATACACAGTCGTACCTCAATAAACACTAAAATGAGCAGTCAATTCTGAAGTAATCAAGATGGGGTCAGTCATTCTGTAATGGTACAATCCATGTTCTACCTCTTCAGGCACAATCACACAGAGGCTGGACACTGGATATAGCTCCATCCTACATCCCAGCGGTGAGAGATCAGTGTTGAGGGTAACCAACAATCCATATATAGCAACCAATGTCAGTGATATGTTTGTGAGATGAACCTGTTACACTGGTCAACAGTACGCACAGTCAAAGGGAAGTAACTGGTATCCAAACTTGTCTCCCTTTAACCATGTCTTCAACAAATGAGCGAGTAAGTTTTACGCCGCTGCAGTAATATTCCAGCAATATCACGGCTGGGGACACAGCGGGTCTTCCGCGTGACGAACGAACGTTTTAACCACTAGACTACTCCACCACCGCCTTCAACAAACAAACCTACCATTATCCATAATTAATTGTTCTGATGAAAAGTAAGATTATTACTCTTCAAGTACAAAACACTTACAAAAATGTTGCAGTCTTGTGAGCCACTGTAGAGCTTGTTGCCATATGTACAGAGCGCCAGGACAATACCCGTGTGTCCCTCTAATGTCTTGACACATATGTAACTGGTGCTGGTGTCCCACACCTGGAAATCAACACAGGATATTTAACAACTAGCAATGGACTCAGGTCAGTATGGTCATTGCTAACATAGAGTGCTAGTGGTGGGTTTTGGTCCGGGAATTCAGTCAAGGGTCGCATTAACAATGACAGTGATTAGGGAGGGTCATGTATATTACGTTTAACTGTAGGGGGGGTATTTGTTTCTTTGCTGAATTATTGTTGTCCTTAAATTCAAAACTTCATCAAAAGTATATTTCTTAATGAGAAAAATAACCATTCTAATTGGAATCTCAACTTCAAAATGGTGGACAGATTGATCTCTGACCCCCAGATTTTTTACAGCAAAGAGTCAAAACCTTTTGGACACGTAATAAAGTTGTTTAAACAAGCTAACCAACACTTTCCCCCTTACTGGTCCCTAAAAACTTCTGAAAGAAAAAACAGGGGTAATGTTATTATATAAGCCGTGCTGAATTTAATTTAATTTCAGTTGATTACAATATTTTTACTATTATCATTGCAAATATGACCATGACTCTTATGTCTTTGCCATGGAGGTGAGGTGAGGTGAGGTGAGGTGAGGTGAGGTGAGGTGAGGTGAAATTGGGTTTAACGTCGTGCTTGAGAATATTTCGCTCATATGACGACGTGCATGCGTGTGTATGTGTATGTGCGGCTGCTTGTACTAGCCCAGACTTAAGCTGGTTTTATAGTGCTAGAACACTGAGATACCATGCCGCAGTGAAGCATGAATACCCCACTCAGACACATTATACTGACTCCGAGCCGACCAGTCCTTGTTGTACACATTAATGCCGAGCGCCATGCAGGGACCAACAAGTACCATATTTTAACGTCTTTTGGTATGACGTGGTCGGGGATCGAACCCGCGACCTTCCGCTCTCTGGGCGGACGCTCAAACCACTACACCACGGAGGCGGTCTTTGCCATGGAGGAATCATATAGATCAGAGATGTAAGAATGTGAAATGGGTGAGTGAGTTGGATTTTATTCCATACAGTCAGTCAAGTGTTTATGTGAGAGGAAGGCAGAAAGTCTCTGTATACAATAATGGCTTGTGAGACAAGCGTTCAAACAGCAATGCCAAGATGGACACCTTTAATTAAATGCAACTAGAAAATACCTATTCACATTATAAAGTTCTGACCTGATCCATGACAGTGATCAACTTGACTTGAAGTGGGTTGATGCCTTACCTTTATTGTTTTATCAGATGATCCACTGAACAGGTAGTCTCCCATAGGGCATAAGCACCACACAGGACCCTTCACACAAAACAAAGGGTTACCTTTACACATGGTCAAAAAACTTTCCGCAAGTGTGTGAATAACTGGGAAAATTTGGTTAAAACCTGCCCTTATATGGGAAGAATGCCTGAAAACTTGCAAGCCTCATTTCAGCGTTCAAAATACCTTCCTGCCCAACTGCCCGGGATGGGTTATTTTCAACATGGACTGCCAGATTCTCAAATTCACCTGCCCCACGTTCGGGTTAAAATTTAGACATGTATATGAAGATATTTTTTTGGGAAGGTAAGTTTTGGTCAGGGCTGGCACGTTTTACATCAGACTGAAATTATTGGGAGTTTCATACCCTGCTCATTTACAATTTTGGTGAAACCTACGAGCGGTCTTGAGGCGCTGACGAACCTGTCAGCAACACTGGGGCAAACCTATCAACCTATGATCACCTGGTACACCTACACTAAGCAACTCAGGGATACCAACTCTGGAGACAGGATAGTTAGTTATTCTGTTCCCCACACAGATGGTATGGGTTTGACAAACATTAAGAGATCAACTAAATGTACAAACAATTAAAGACCATCTGTCCTGATCAATGAAATGCATTCAATCCCATCCTCTTTTGGGCACCATTCATTCCTGACGGACAAACAATCTGTAGTTCTAAGTTTAGAGTAGGTTATTCTATGTTTTACTCAATTTGGGTTATATATCTGTTTTATGAAGTCAACAGCTCTGCATTTAAAAGGTGGCTGAACAGATAAAGCTGACTAGCTTTAAATCACAAATAGTGGCAAGATTTTTTCCTTTTCAGGTGTTTGAAGCTAAACAGAATAAGGAGACTGTGATTTCATATTCTATGCAATGTCATTAAGACTGTTAGTCTATTGTTATATAATGTACAAATTTGAATTAAGAGCAGAGCTTGTTCATAACTAACTCCATGTGTACCACGTGATGTGTGACCATGCATCTGTCTGAATTATGGGCCAGTGGCCTTTTACTGAATAAAACTGTCTGTCTGTCATATTCTATGCTGTATCATTCAACATTCTTATTCAGCTTAGTATGTAACACAGGTTCTGATTGGTCAATGCTATAAATTTCTGACCATATAATTAGCATATACGGTCGAATTTAAAAACCAACTCACCAAAACTTCTGAATTATCCCTACACTACAGGCGTTTGTCAGGGCATTATAATTTGCAGAAGCTGTATGTCTTCAATTAACTCCCCTATTATAGCTAAAATGGATGGAATTTGTGTTAAAAAAGACTAAACAGTATCATGAATTAATTGTAAGTTTACTTCAAATAACTCACAAAGGGCTGTTGCCCCAACACTGTTAAGTCATGGAACAAAATTTATGATGTCATTTCTTTCACGAAAAAACAGCGTAAAACGAGTTGAATTAGAATGGAGACAACTGTACTGTTTTGACGAATTGGGGACGTATACTAGTGGTTATGTAGCCACAAATTCAGTTATATGTGGAGCCGATATAATATTATCCTGTACTGGAATAGTAGTGTGATTATAGTTCTTCTTCTTGTGGTAGATCTTAATAAGGCTGAGATAATGCTGATGAGATGTTAATTTTAACTCACTCTTGTGGTAGGCACAAGTGAAAATATGGTGGTTTCACTTAGAAATTTCAACATATTGTTTCTCCTGATAAGTAGTTGACCAACCTACCTGATGTCCAACAAATGTGCCTTTACATTTGAACATGGAAATAGGGTCGTAGGCTGAAAAAGAAAACATAAGTACTTACTGAAAGAGGTAAGGTGATATCAGGTTAAAACTCCGGGATAATAAAGTTATATCTTATCTTAAAACTGAGGTCCAAAATATTCAATATAACAATATGCATGCACATGGTTATGTGTGGCTGGCTATGTCAGTCTGAGTTTATAGTGCTTTCCTACTGAGATACCATGACACATTTAAATATTGATAGACACTGCACACTGACTGAGTTGACCAGTCCTTGCTTTATTCTGTACACCAGGCAGGGTAACAACAAGTACCATCTGTTAATGTCTTTAAGTATAAACACCATCAATAGTATCAACCATCACATTCCTAATAATTCTGTTAAACTGCTTCCAAGTATAATATCATTTTGTGTTAGGAGATTCAGAGTTTCAATGTAAAGTTATCTATATGAGCTGTCTTTAAGTATAAACACCATCAATAGTATCAACCATCACATTCCTAATAATTCTGTTAAACTGCTTCCAAGTATAATATCATTTTGTGTTAGGAGATTCAGAGTTTCAATGTAAAGTCATCTATATGAGCTGTCTTTAAGTATAAACACCATCAATAGTATCAACCATCACATTCCTAATAATTCTGTTAAACTGCTTCCAAGTATAATATCATTTTGTGTTAGGAGATTCAGAGTTTCAATGTAAAGTCATCTATATGAGCTGTCTTTAAGTATAAACACCATCAATAGTATCAACCATCACATTCCTAATAATTCTGTTAAACTGCTTCCAAGTATAATATCATTTTGTGTTAGGAGATTCAGAGTTTCAATGTAAAGTCATCTATATGAGCTGTCTTTAAGTATAAACACCATCAATAGTATCAACCATCACATTCCTAATAATTCTGTTAAACTGCTTCCAAGTATAATATCATTTTGTGTTAGGAGATTCAGAGTTTCAATGTAAAGTCATCTATATGAGCTGTCCTTCTGTATGACAGTGCTAGTCTGACTCACAGCAAGGGGAACCACAACTTGGCACTAGGTAACCTAACATTGTATAAACCTCCATAAAGCATGCAAACATTTGATCAATCCAAACCAAGTATTTTTTAAAGTTATGGTAGAACTGGGATTTAACAAGTCCTATATCACATGTTAGTGAGTGGGTGAGTGACTTGGGTATGTAGCCAGGTAGGACACTATTTCAGTCATGTTGCAGCGTGCCAGCGTTATAAGAGTGGAACACAAGAAATGATTAGGTCTTATTTTCCAGATGTCTGCCACTTTGGTAAAGCCCACAGGCACCAACATAGCGCTGACTAAAGTAGAAACATGATTAGAGTGAACCAGATTTCATAGCCACAATAATAGGTTTCTCACACACATATTGAACACAACTATGCATAGCAAATAGTAGGACCATAGATGACTGGGCCAGCCTTGCCCCTGACCACTTTAGCTTCAGGCAGGAACAAACTTTGAACTGATCCACTCTGTGTGTGACATTGGTGACACTCATAGGACAAAAACTGAAAACTGGGTTTGAAATTTCCAAAGGTTTTGGATTTGAGACAAGACAAAAACCACAGTAATCAGATGCTTTAAAAATGTTTGTTAAAAATGTTTTTAAATAATTTAGTGTTGCCATCTGATTCTATGAATAAACTAGGATTATGATGACATATATTATCATCAAACGAATTGTTAATATTGGTTGTTCTCCCTACCTCCAGCAGTAGCACCAAGATTCAGCCTGTTCCGTAAATGTGACACCTCGTCCTGGAAACAACATCAGCCATGTTGACAAGCAATAGGTGACCAAACATGAGAATACAGATTCTTCACTAGATTCATATGGACAAGTTAATAGAGACTGTCAAACTGCCAGGTTACATTACGAATAATGTCTCTGAAACTAAAACATTTGGATCAAATATAGAGCTTCCACATTATAATCTAACAAATAATTTTTCCTTCAGAGTGGGGCTGTCGGCTCAGGTTAAATGTGTTAATAGGAAATACAAAAGGGGCTAACATTTAAAAACACAGTTCTTCAAGACTGACTGATTGAGTTTGGTTTTACGCCGCTTTTAGCAATATTCCAGCAACATCATGGTGGGGGACACCAGAAATGGGCTTCACACATTGTACCCATGTGGGGATTCAAACCCAGGTCTTCGGCGAGACGAGCCAACGCTGTAACCACTAGGCTACCTTACCGCCCCAGTCCTTCAAGAGTCTGGCTCTGATGAAACCAAGTTTACACAAGTTTTACATATCAATGTGCATTGTGGTGTTGCTTGATGTTTTGATCTGTTGTTTTTGGGTTGTTTTTTAACACCACTGTCAGCTATGTTCTGGGTTGTAAATTACCCTACACATAACGAAGGTGATGCATACAACGGCTGATGCCATGACCCAATTTAGTCCCAGCAAGATAAAATATACATTGTTGGGAATGTACTGTATTAACCAAGCTACCCAGCCTAATTACCCAATCCATCACCTCTTACTTCAAGCAAGAATCCTTGTGGGGCACATATAAGGTACTAAGGTACTGGAACGAAACAAGTGGTTGACAGCATGAGCACATACTCAACACAACTGACAAATCAGTAGTGAGTGAGTGAGTGGGTGAGTTTAGTTTTACACCGCACTCAGCAATATTACAGCTATATGGCGGCGGTTTGTAAACAATCGAGTCTGGACCAGACAATCCAGTGATCAACAGCATGAGCAACTATCTGCGTAATTGGGAACCGATGACATGTGTCAACCAAGTCAGCGAGCCTGACCACCCGATCCCGTTAGTCGCCTCTTACGACAAGCATAGTCACCTTTTGTGGCAAGCATGGGTTGCTGAAGACCTATTCTACCCCGGATCTTCACGGGTAGACAAATCAGTAACAACCACCCAACAGAAATTGAGGCAAGTCCACCAATCCATGAGTTCTATCTCCACCATTCTTCAATGTCTTTGTGACAACCCAAATCTCCATTTTAATGGCCTTGCATTACATGCAGGTGGATGGGATTCTATCTGTTATGGAACCTCGATGGGAGGGGTCAATATTGAAACAAAGCTAGGTTTACAGTACGCTGCACTCGGCAATATTCCAGTCAGTAAGTCTAGTTTTATGCTGCTTTTATCAATATTCCAGCAATATCACGACAGCGGACACCAGAAATGGGCTTCACACATTGTGCCCATCTGGGGAAGCAATATTCCAGCGATATGGCGGCGGTCTGGAAAAAATCAAGTCTGGACCAGACGATCTAGTGATCAACAGCATGAGCACCGATTTAAGCAACCGATGGCATGTGTCAACCAAGTCAGCAAGCCTGACCACCCGATCCCGTTAGTCACCTCTTACGACAAGCATGGGTTACTAAAGATCTCACCCGGACCTTCACGGGTCGCCAGGTTTACAGTGAGATAAGCAAACACCTCAGCTTGTAGCCTAGCCAGCCGAACATTCTGCAAATATGACACATAAATCTGGACTGGACTTCATTCCAACTGTCCCCAATCTCATAGTTAGTTAAATCAAACAGTTCATAATGGGCAATCAGCTTCCTCAGCTGACACTACTGCAGGCTTCTCCATCCTTGAAACTATAAAACAAGCCTAGTGTCTGTTTTAGACTGAACTCCATTCAATTTCCACACAAATCTGGGACAGGTCTAAATATCATTAATGAGTTCTATCTCTACTTGGGGCAGTGCCTCTACCTTGTAGACTTCATCTACAACTGCATGGCTGGTCGGGGATTTGGAAGTCTGATAAGCTGACAGCACACTTAGTTCTTATTTGATTTATTATGGGTTTGCATTATTAAAGCCTATTTTCTGTACTTATTTGAATTATTTTAACTGATTTGTCTCGGTAGCAGACAGATTATCTCTAAAAAAAATCTCCAAAAAATCAATGGTGGTAGGTATGTACGTATCTGAACATGATTTAGATTCACGTTAAGGACAAATAACGCAGTATTTAGAAGTGATTGCGTCTGAAAGCAACAATGCTTGGTTTAAACACCAAATTGGTCAGTTTTGTGGACAGGGAGAATTTATTTCAAGAAAAACGGAAATGATATAATCAACTAATCTACATACATTTTAAAACCGATATGCTCTATATGTAAAAATGTTACCTTAAATTTGACTTTCAATTAGTTATTCCATTTTAATAAAGATCTGACCCGATTATAATGGTTATATCACCACATCAATAAAAGATCTGATCTGAGTGCTAGATACCATCACAAAAAATGAAGACTGAAAGGACACATTAGTGAGTGAGTGAGTTTAGTTTTACGCCACACTCAGCAATATTCCAGCTATATGGCGCCGGTCTGTAAATAATCAAGTCTGGACCAGACAATCCAGTGATCAACAGCATGAGCATCGGTCTGCGTAATTGGGAACCGATGACATGTGTCAACCAAGTCAGCGAGCCTGACCACCCAATCCCGTTAGTCACCTCTTACGACAAGCACGGGTTACTGAAGACAAATATTATAACCCTGACCTTCACGAGTGAAAGGTCACACTAGAACAGACTATGCTTTGAAAATTCTTTTTTTGTTCTTGAATCAAAATTTGAAACTGTGCAAAAGAAAATTCTCAAAATACCTAATAGATGACTGAAATTATGTGGCAGTTTTTCCGTGGTTGTGGAAATTCACTTCCGCTGCAAATGTTCACCCTGTTGAAGCCAGGAACGAATGATTTCTAGAATCTGCAATCAGCTGGAACAGCTGGTGACTGGGGTTCATAAATACCCTAAGTTAACCATCTCCAGGTTGTTTGATTGGAAAACACACTCTAACTTTCACCTTTGCTATCTAGTGAGCCTTTCACCTTTGCTATCTCGTGAGCCATTCACCTTTGTTATCTCGTGAGCAAAGCTCTGATTGGTCTGATAATAGGTGATGCTGATGTGACCTGTAATGGATGACCTGAGATGTGTAGCAGCAGTGAGCACCAAGATCATATTTCCTGACATCGGATATATTACGTTTAATAATATGATGGAAACTTTTTCATGCAGTTACACATCCAACACTATTTTTCTGGAAATGCAATAAACATAATATGTAGCCCCTTTCCTCTTGAGACTTTGTGGCCACAACAGCATCTACCTGAGGCACTACCCAAATTCAAAGGAAGGGAGGTGGGGGTGCCAAGTGGTTAAAGCGTTCAGTCCTCATGCAGAAGACATGGGTTTGATTCCCCATATGGATAAAATGCCCATTGCTGGTGTCCTCCATTGTGATATTGCTGGAGTATTGCTTAAAGTGGCACAAAACCATATTCACGTACAATATCAAAGCTTAGTTTTTACCCCTGAAATTTAAGCCAACTTGATTGTAGAAAATGGCGTCCACACTTTGTGTAAATCAGCGACATGAATTAATACAGTATGCATACCGGCTTTTGCATTTATACATGGATACCTTTGTACTTCAAACTACTGAAGTCAAAGTTATCTCAACACTTCAAGGCAAATGAACTTGTCAAGGGGGACGTGAATCATCATTACACTGGCCACAGTGGATGTTTATGTTTAGATTTCCAAGGCAAGGATGGGCTGTACAGCTGAGACTAACACATCCCTAGTGAGAAGGGTGATTGTTGTTACCATTTACTGCCATGTTTAATTTAAAACACTGACCAGCATTGTGATAGGTTGATAAGTACCTTTAACCAATGTACACAACCTTTCATTTTGACAAAGTGTAGCTAGACCCAGATCCAACAGATTTGAGATTTAGGGAAGTACCTCTAATGGTCCGAGACACGTGAACATCAGGGTAAAAACCCCAAAAAAACTCTGACTTGGTTGACACGTGTCATTGTACCCTAACTGTCGTCATCATATAGCTGGAATATTGCTGAGTGTGGCGTTAAACACCAATGAACCTAAAAAAAGACAACAGTGTCTGTCTGATATGAATAAAGGACTGTTTTTGAATAGTTCGATGGTGTATTTTGGTTCAAAACAAATTGTAAACAAACATTTTTGTGTCTGTTGATAGTGCAGCTGGGTAACACCATTGTATCTTGTCATCGATGTATGGGAGATCTGTGGTACAACACTAGTTTCATCACTATCACTGAACAGATCACTGTGTGTTCGTGTGCATCACGTCTGTTGATAGTGCAGCTGGGAAACACCATTGTATCTTGTCATCGATGTATTGGACAATTGTGATACTTCAGCAGAACCCCTATCATTGAAATGTTTGACCAATACAACCACTTTAAACAATATTGGAGTAATATCAGTGTGTCATCCAGCTGTTGGAGGAAATAAAACCCCAAAAAGAATATGGTCTTTCATGAAAACAACAGACATGATGGCTCCTAATCTGGATGAACCTTGGATTGAAACCCATGGCATGGACCCTTCAGCCAGGGGTGAGGTGAGGTGAAATTGGGTTTAACGTCTTGCTTGAGAATATTTCGCTCATATGACGACGTGCATGTGTGTGTATGTGTATGTGCGGCTGCTTGTACTAGCCCAGACTTAAGCTGGTTTTACAGTGCTAGCCCACTGAGATACCCTCAGCCAGAGAATGCAATAGTGAGTTAAATAGCACCTTACATCTGCCACGGGAGAACCTTATGATCATTTCAGATATCTGAATCAAATGTCTGAATAAGGACGAAAGTCTTTGTCATAACCGCAATCTTCAGAATATTTGTGGAATCCCCAGATTTCATCACTATGAAGCCAAACCTCAGAGACACTATGATCCCCTTGGTTTCAATCATCTGCCTCACGGTTACCACAGGGGTACAAATAACCCATTGCCCGACGCCCCAGGCCACTGTTTTTTTGTGTCGGGCTAGCAAATTTGTATGTCACGGTGTACCGGTGTCCAGTTGACTTTCCAATGTTAATTATGTTGTTTATTTAAAAAATCAACAAGAAAATCGGCCGGTATAGTAGAAGAATTATCAGGGCAAGTGATTTTACATGTGCCACTGTACCGGAGTACACTAGCAATTTTAAAGTTATTTCCACCCCTGTTACCATTATGAAAGTGTACTTACTGCCACATCAGCATATTCTCTCCTGTTTTCTATCATGTCATTCATGATCTTGTTCTGTGTCCGCTCCACCAGACCTGTGCAACATAAACAGCATGAGTGAGTGGGGGTGAGTGAGTGAGTGAGTGAGGGTGGGTGGGTGGGTGAGTGAGAGTGTAAGTGGGTGGAGTGAGTGGAGTGTGGTGGGTGGGGAGTGAGTGAGTGAGTGAGTGGTGGGTTGGTGAGTGAGTGAGTGGGTGGGCGAGTGGGTGAGTGAATGAGTGAGTGGGTGAGTAAGTAGGTGAGTGGCTGAGTGAGTGAGTGAGTAAAAAATAATTTGCTTAGGAGCTTACATATGTTGATACCATGTTTAGTTGTACATTATTCTAGACATTGATTACTTTGCCATATTGGCGTAAGTAAAATGAAGCCATTAATCAAGCAGCACTTTTTTTACAAACATTTTTGGCTAAAGTCATTTCACATAGTTTCCTGTTATTAATCAAACAGCCATTTGTCAAGCAGTGAAGATCTGCCAATCTGCAAGTACACCAGATTACCAACTGTACCAAAAACAATACCCTCTGACCACTATACCACTCCACTTTTCATAAGGATAGTTTTATCTTTCCATGATGCAAAAACTGATTCACATTCAAATTTGTATAGTATCTGACTTCCACTCACCCAGCTTCAAATCAACAGATTTCTCCAGTGACTCAAGACGTTCAGACAACTTTCCCAACATGGAACGGAGAAACTCGATTTCCTGATCCTTCTGGTTGAGTGAGAACTGTAGGTCGGTCATTCTCTCGTCTGTCCTCTGTAGGAACTCCTTCATGCTATCGAACTTGCAAACTTTCATATGCTCTTCAAGCTCTTCCTGTGTTCCCAAAAACTCACAGCTGTGGAAATGAAAAGAGTTGAGTTTATGCATCTCAGCAAACCTTACAAAAAATGTGTAACATCTCGTGGCTGTTGCTGAATCCATAGCAAATTCAGAAATCAATGGCAGGAAAATAAAATCACCAGAACAAACACAATTATCAAGGATAATGCTTTGTCAAAAAGGGTTTGCAGAGAAAGGAATAATCAGGCCCAGTGTTTGTAGTAAGTTGAGGAACATGTGTGATATTTAAAGTAGATGAACTGTGAATATGACATGGAGTTGATTCTGTCAATTATCAGCACTTGTTCAAGAAAGGAGATATGATAGTTTATACCACTTGCAATCTTGTGGTGGTAATGTCGTTTGTGGATATTGATTCCACGACAAGCCTGAACTGATGGGAGGAACTGGCCTGTGTTTTTTAAAGGATTTAGACTGCTTGAACTTCAAAGTCAAATCAGCATTTGAAATCATCCAGATTTTCAATTTACAAACATCAAAATTGGACTAAGCAAATCTGGCACTTTAATAGCAATTTCTTCTCATGCACTATGTCATACCAATATTCATAAAGAATTCATGTACTCCTACAGGTGACTTTGATACAGGATTACAGGATATGTAATCAAATTATCCTGATATTGCTGAAAAAAGATGTACTGACAGAAAAATGAACCCAAATAGAACTTGAATATTTTAAAACCTTTTGAACACCAAATCTGATGAGCATTCTGAAGTAAACTGATAAGGGATGAATGAAATTATACTCAAAACATATATTTACAGGTCTGTCTAGGTGAGGTGGTGAGGGAATCAATCTGGTTTGATGAGCTCCAGTTACGTCATGGTGACTTAGCTGTGGGAGGAAAGTCGCAAGTGATGCAAGTCGCAGACATTCACCATGTCAGTGAAAGCCGAGGGGCATGGATATAACCAACCTAGAAACTGCAGGGCCAAACTAAGATTTCTACCTGCAATCACGGGTATCTAATATGCCACACAATCCCCTCCTCCACCTCTAAGATGCGAGAGGGGCGGTGGGGTAGCCTAATGGTTAAAGCGTTGGCTTGTCACGCCGAAGACCCGGGTTCGAATCCCCACATGGGTACAATGTGTGAAGCCCATTTCTGGTGTCCCCCGCCGTGATGTTGCTGGAATATTGCTAAAAGCGGCGTAAAACCAAACTCAGTCAGTCAGGCAGTCTAAGATGCGAGTGTCAAGAACAAGGTACACAGTATTTACTCATTTTCAAATCAATCAGATTTGACTGCTTGTGGAAAATATATAAGGTGAATGTTTAAAATAAAGAACATCTTCACAGATTACCCTGTTGTAGGACAAGGGCTTGCAGTAATCGAGTTTTGAAAAATAAAACAAATACAAATTGCAGAGTTAACTTTACACTTTTCAGTTATAAACTTGGAGTGAGTGAGTTTAGTTTTACTCCACACTAAGCAATATTCCAGCTATATGGCGGTCAATAAAGAATCGAGTCTGGACCAGACAATCCTGTGATCAACAGCATGAGCATCGATCTACGCATTTAGCATACAATGACATGGATCAACCTAATCAGCAAGCCTGACCACCCGATCCCGTCTTTTGCCTCTTACGACAAGCATGGGTTACTGAAGATCAATTCTAACCAAGATCTTCACGGGTATTATGAACTTGGAGAAACAGGTTATCTTTCAGGAATGATACATCAAAAAGAAAAGTACGAAGTTTGTTGTTGACACTGTCTGCATTCATGTGAGTCATATCTATAGGGGATATACACCCAGCATTACATATCCACCTCACAAGTACAAGCAGTGAATACTGAAGAATGCATAGATACCAACAAGACAGAGACCTCACTCCTTTAAATTCTAAATACATTTCTTCAAGAAATGTAACTGAAATATTCTATGCAAGCGTTTTCCACCCCAACTATCCATTAAGACAGTTCTAGTCCCCTGTCTGTATATCTAAGGCAGAAATGGTGTATAACAAAACAACAACAACTTGAGCTGAAAATACGACCATGGAAAATCAATATTTCTATGTATCCTAAATGTAGGCAGTTTTGACAGAACATCCTTCAAGTATGTTAACGTAAATAACCTGACCTAAAATGTCCCTGTGGTGTACCTTTTCACTTTATAAATTCACATCTCGAGTGTTTCCAAACTGTTGAGCATGATGATCTGTCATGTATTTTCTGAAGCCGTGCAGTTCACATAATGCCCCATTTACAATGAAACCTCGCAAACATGAAACTGTTTCTGAAGTGACACGGAGTTGCCTTCAGCCATAACTTGAAGAGGGCAATGAGAGAAGTAGAAGTCACACTGTGAGTAGATCACAGCAGACGTACAAACACCACTAACAAGATTTCACTCTCAGACCCATGTCGCCCATCAATACCGCAGAACAAATGATGACTTAATATCTTGTTAATAGAGGGAGTTTGAACATGAGAGAAGCGAACGATAGGTTTTCATCTACTTAATCTACATCCCGCCATCTACAGCATCGATCAGGGTTGATAAAGTGCTCTTCAGACCTCTGACCGTGGACAAGGGGACATTTGATGGTGTTCAGAAGAACAGGAAGTCGTCTGCCCCACTTGCAGATCAAACAGTTAGCTGGATATGCCTATGAATGTGCTGACATTTAACAGGGAATCGCTCACACGGTTATTTGACTGTCTGCAAACAACCAAACCACAAATTACATTTCTCCAATACCTACATGAATGCAAATTGACGTAGCTTGGCCCAAATTTGAAGACAGCGCGTCTTTGCATGGGAGTAATGCATGCATCCTCAGGGATGCTGTAAGGCTTGGTCTTTGCTGTAGACATAGAGGCCATGCAGTGGAATACCACAGTCTGACTGTGGGGTTAAATACCTCCAGGTACATTGAGCACTCTGCTGCCTCATTGTTAGAGAATCTAAGGCACTCTTAATGTCATTTGCCAGTCAACCTTCTCAATAATAAAGGAATGTATATATTTGGCATCATAACAAAAGTACTTGAAAAGCTTATCATATATATCTTGAATGAGTGAACTGGGGGTTTGAATACTCTGGCTACTTATTATTAAAAGCAGCTAAATGGACCAGGCGGTCAACACTCAGTCACTAGACTGTCTAGAGACTGTGATGATGGAGCTGAATTAGTGAGGTGTAGGGTCAAAGAAACCTTATACAGGAGGCAGATGGCAATTGATTTCGAATCTCGGCAAAATATTTTATATAAAGCACTTTGCTTCATTTACCTTTATAGTGTCTATGATAATACTGGGTGAGGAGTTATCTTTCCCTTTTCTATCAGCCATGCTTAATACAGATGCGAAAAAACTGTTTGAACAAGCGATAGTTATGCTATCACATGATACTCTCAAAAGCTCGCCCATAAAATGCACAATCAAGATGAAATTTCATTCGTCAAGTAGGTCGTTAACATTTGCTGAAAGTATTTCCAGCTTTAAAATCAATAGATATATCCCATAAAATCTTATTAAAAATGTGAAGCTCAAATTTTCTTTTTCCGAAAATAGGCTTCAAATCCTCATCCTGTTTCTACGATTCAAGACATCAACCCAACCATAAACATCAATGAACATAAACAACAGTAAAACTTTATCCTAAAATAACTTTAATATTAGGTAGTCCTTATCACTGGCTCATCGACCAGAAGAAATGGCAACCTTCTGATCTAGATGTACGAATGAGCTGTAGAATCCATTAAGTTGTGAAGAACAGTAGTGCACATCATCCCGAACTCCTTCTTATACATCCTGAATTGGAACTTTATTGTGTGGGTGTCACCTCCAATCGTTCCTCCCTATAGTTCATGCTTATAACAACAGATCAGATAACATTCCCAGAGGCAGTCTAGACGTGGGGGGAAACTGCTGCTATCACTTGTTCAACTTCCACCTCATCTAAATCAGTCATGGAAGGGAAACTTATTGCATTCTAACTTCAACACTGTGATTGGTGATATGAACCTCTATAAATGGTAATGTCAGGTTTTGCTGAGCTTCTTCATTGTCAGGACTGACTCACATCCTTCAGATATACTGTAGCATTTACAGGGATAAACTGTAAATGTCTGATTCTTAACAATCTGTTCACAACATTATGACATGACTTCTATGTGTAATTCTATGTTCAGTGCATCTGTCACCTAACTCCGTACTCATAAAGATGCCAACTGTCTGTAAATATTTGTCTGACAAGACAATCCAGTGATTGATGTCATTGACCTATGCTCTTGAGACACCATGACATGCATCAACCATGTAAGCCTGACCACTTGGCAGATACCACTATAACAAACATGAGTGAGTGAGTGAGTGAGTGAGTGATTTAGGGCGGTGGGGTAGCCAAGTGGTTAAAGTGTTCGCTTGTCACGCCGAAGACCCGGGTTTCGATTCCCGGCATGGGTACCATGTGTGAAGTCTATTTCTGGTTTCCCCTGCCGTGATATTGCTGGAATATTGCTAAAAGTGGGATAAAACCAAACACACTCACTCACTCATCACTATTTGATAGTAGGTGAGGTGAGGTGAGGTGAAATTGGGTTTAACGTCTTGCTTGAGAATATTTCGCTTATATGGCGATGTGCATGCGTGTGTATGTGTATGTGCGGGCTGCTTGTACTAGCCCAGACTTAAGCTGGTTTAATAGTACTAGCCGACTGAGATACCATACTGCAGTGAATCATGAACACCCCACTCAGACACATTATACTGACTCCGAGCCGACCAGTCCTTGTTGTGCCCATTAATGCTGAGCGCCAGGCAGGGACCAACAAGTACCATATTTTAATGTCTTTTGGAATGACGCGGTCAGGGATCGAACCCGAGACCTTCCGCTCTCCGGGCGGACGCTCTAACCACTACACCACGGAGGCGGTCCTATTTGATAGTAATTCATGAACACATACTTATGATATAGTTGGAATAGTTTTTTTCCTTTTTATGAGCATGGAAAATTTAATGTTTTTTGTTGGTTTATTCCA